AAGTTTGTGATGTTAGTTTTGATATAGTGCTTTGAATCCAATTTAAAACTCTTCTAAAAGTCTACGTTCAAACCATGCAATATGGAATCTTAAAATGAGAATGACCACGTGAAAAAAAAACAATTAACTGAGAATGATCACATGTATACATTAGGCTATTCACTATGGTATTGTGTCTAATTTCACATCCTCACATGTATTGTCAATATGAACAACTCTGATTAGTTATCAATTTATTAAAAAAAAAACATTTATGGAAAATATTTTATTACTCTAAACACTAATATCATCTGCTACAATGCAGTGTGCTTCCACTGTAATATCTGTGTTTCTCAACGCAACATCAATAGCAACCTCGATCTATACCATCTCTTTCCTCCAAGTTATCTCCCCTTCGACACTGCTGTTCTTGATCTCTTCCAGCAACCGTTTTGGGCTTACATGACCATTCTCTCTGACTATTCATGCTTTCCTCTTAACTCTTGGTATTCTTTAAATGATATTACAATCTTCTTACGAGACTATACAATCAAAAAGCTTACAACACAGATCTCTAAGATGAAGTTGAAAGGTGTGTATATTATTGGTTTTGACTTCGGAGTTTTGAAAATAATGTTGTGTAAAAAACTGAAGTTTTCAAAATAAAAAAGGTATAAGAAATAAGATAAATTGCTTAAAAAGGAAAAATAATTATACATCACAACTCTGCACACTTTGCTTCCTCCACCCTTTGAAGCTTTGCTAACATCTCTTCCATGTACTGAACATATCTTGCTTCCTGTATAGAATAAAGTAAGAAAAATATTTAAGAAAATATGTACAGTGCGAAGGAGAGAAGAATGAAAGTAGATGCGAGGAGGATGAGCAGGAGAAACAGTGGTTGTTGTTGATTTGAAAAGCTAACTTGACGAAATAAACTGACGGTGTCAATCTCTACCACCTCACTGATCCTAGGAGGTGTGTCCTGAGGCATCACTGGAGCATCCCTTATTTTCTTTGCCATAGATCGTCCCTTGACACAATATGTTTTACGTAATGAAGCAGAGAGAGATGGGGGGGATGGTTCTCAAACACAGCGTTTCATGTTTTAGTCGCACCTCGACGGTCGATGAAAAACGAAAATGGCAAGACTTCAAATCACCGATCACTCATTTTAAGGAAATTTCTAATGGGAATAGGAATCATGAACATGATTTCCAAGGGATAAACTTTACCTTTTTATAGGTGAAGATTCACTGCTCGGAAGAGAGATAAGGATCATTGAATGAATGATCGTGGTTGAACTCATTAATGGCGATGAATCAATACTAATTGTAACGGCTCAGGAAGAGGAATCGCAAACGAAACGACATGAGACGAAATCAACGCTTCGATTAGCCATGAAGCCTCATCTGAGTCGACCTTTCCAAACCTCCATTGTTTGCAGAGCTCGCAGGACATGACGAACCCTAGAAAGAATGGCGCCTTCGCAAAACGAAGGTGACTCTAATGCGAAAGCTGTGTAGGTTTTCAGCCCAAATAATTATTTCAAAAAGGCCCATAATATATTCATTTGTAACCCATTAAAACTAAGAATGAACTTAAGATTCGCCAGGACTAAGATATGTTTCATATTCACATCTCTATATAACTAAGTTGACCTACCAACCAGCTATGCTGTTAAGATGAGCTACCGAGAAGCCATATTTTCTAGAAATTGAACTCGATCTGCAGCTATATCTTTTGCTCCCACACATTTATATTCTCTTTTGTTTCATATTACTTGTCCCCTTCCATATTAGCTATGGCATGCTATAGTTCAAGAAACCACAACGAAAAACAACACAACTCGTATAACAAAACCAACAAAATAAAAAGAACTTTCACTCACCTGGTGACCACTTTGGTTGATGAGTTCCAATAAACAATTGCTCAAGGTATTTAGTTAAAAAAAAAAAAAAAATTTGCTCAACGTGTTCAATATATTTTAAAAATTTTAGCTGTATCAAGTTTGTTTTGATATAGTGGTTTGTATCCAATTTAAAACTCTTCTAAAAGTTCAAACCATGCAATATGGATCTTAAAATGAGAATGGCCACATGAAAAAAAAAACAATTAACTGAGAATGACCACATGTATACATTAGGTTATCCACTATTCCTCACATGTATTGTCAATATGAACAACTCTGATTAGTTATCAATTTATTAAAAAAAACATATATGGAAAATATTTTATTAGTCTAAACACTACTATTGTCTGCTACAATTTTTGTGGGTTCCATTGTCTAAGTTCAGCATCTACAGTGCAGTGTGTGTCCACTGTGAACTCTGTGTTTCCCAATGCAACATCAATAGCAACCTCGATCTATTCCATCTCTTTCCTCCAAGTTATCTCCCCTTCTACACTGCTCTTCTTGATCTCTTCCAGCAACCGTTTTGGGCTTACACATGACCATTCTCTTTGACTATTCATGCTTCCCTCTTAACTCTTGGTACTCTTTAAATGATATTATAATCTTCTTACCAGACTATACAATCAAAAGTGCTTACAATGCAGATCTCTAAAATGAAGTTGGAAGGGTGGTATATTAATGGTTTTGACTTCGGAGTTTTGAAAATTATGTTGTGTAAAAAAACTGAAGTTTTCAAAATAAAAAGGTATAAGAGATAAGATAAATTGCTTAAAAAGGAAAAATAATTATACATCACAACTCTGCACACTTTGCTTCCTCCACCCTTTGAAGCTTTGCTAACATCTCTTCCATGTACTGAACATATGTTGCTTCCTGTAAGGAATAAAGTAAGAAAAATATTTTATGCGAGGAGGATGAGCAGGAGAAACAGTGGTTGTTGTTGATTTGAAAAGCTAACTTGACGAAATAAACTGACGGTGTCAATCTCTCCCACCTCACTGATCCTAGGAGGTGTGTCCTGAGGCATCACCGGAGGATCCCTTATTTTCTTTGCCATAGATCGTCCCTTGACACAATATGTTTTACGTAATGAAGCAGAGAGAGATGGAGGGATGGTTCTCAAACACAGCGTTCATGTTTTAGTCGCACCTAGACAGTGGATGAAAAACGAAAATGGCCAGACTTCAAATCACCGATCACTCATTTTAAGGAAATTTCTAATGGGAACAGGAATCATGAAAATGATTTCCAAAGGATAAAGCTTTACCGTTTTATAGGTGAAGATTCACTGCTCGGAAGAGAGATAAGGATCATTGAATGAATTATGTGGTTGAACTCGTTAATGGCGATGAATCAATACTAATTGTAACGGCTCGGGAAGAGGAATAGCAAACGAAACGACATGAGACGAAATCAACGCTTTGATTAGTCTGAGTCTACCTTTCCAAACCTCCATTGTTGGCAGAGCTTGCAGAACATGACGAACCCTAGAAAGAATGGCGGCTTCTCAAAATGAAGGTGACTCTAGTGCCAAAGTTTTGTAGGTTTTCAGCCCAAATAATGATTTGAAAAAGGTCCATAATGTATTCATCTGTAACCCATTAAAACTAAGAAAGAACTTAAGTTTCGCTAATTGGTAGAGCATTAGCATAAACATTATGCTCTATATTATCCTATCAACATTTGCTAAAGAAGCATTTAGAAAAGCATTTACCATATGCCAATGTTCTCCAAATGCTCTTTGCTCAATACTCTCATATAGAGCTTTTGGGAGAGTATTTGCATATAAAATATATAAAACTTAAAAATAAATAAATATAATTATTTTTTAATAATATAAAAATATATTTTTAATAAAAAATAAATATGCATTTTTCAAAATAAGAAAAAAACAATTATTATTAAATATTTTTAAAAAATTTAAAGAATAATATTTCACATTTTATAATATAATTTATATAATTACAGATATCGTTCATTATTTTTAATAACAAATATAACATAATATATATTTATATTTATATATTATAGATATAAACATATTATTTAGACACTAATGAATAATTATATAACATATATTACCTATTATGATTATTTTATATATGTATCATTTACCGTTGTACTAATAAATAAATAATAATAATTTATATATATAGATATATATATTATATAATTAATTAATTTTTTTAGTAATATTAAAATATGTTTATATCCAAAATAATTTAATATTTTAAAAATAATTTTTACATTTTTAAATATAATTTATGTAATGAATAAAATTCATTATTGTAATAACAAACATATTATTAATATATATTATAAATATAAACTATTATTTTAAAACAAATATATTATTTTAATTATTATGATAATTTTAAAATTGTATGATATTAGTTTGCTACTACTCTGAAAATCACTTTATTAAAAACTTTAATTAAAGCATACAGCTTCTATTGCTTTATCATCTACTGTACCAATAGGTCTAAGATAAGTCTCTTCTCTTATATATTGAGGTGGCACTCCCAAAAAGGAGAAAATTATCCTGTATATATATAGAAGATATATATATATATATATATTTTTTTTTTGGAACATGTATATATTGATAGATAGATGTTATTTGACGTGGGAACTTAAAAATAATTCTTACAAATTAAAAGATCAATCTTTATTTTTTTTTGAAACACCAAAGACCAGTATATACGCAATATTTGGACCCATTAGATTAGGCCGGATAACCAAAGGCCCGTTAGAAACAATCAACGTTCCCCTTAGTAAAGTAGAGCTTCTCTCTCTCAACGAACAAAAGCCTGCGCTAGAAACCTCTGCGTCGTTCACCGACTCTATCGCCGCCGGTTGAAGTTAATCGACTTCTCTCTCTCTCTCTCTCTCTCTCTCTCTCTCTCTCTCTCTCTCTCTCTCTTTCGTGTATTGGACAATGGTGAGCCAAAGGCAAAGACTTGCGAGGAAGCGATACAAGGAAGCTCACCCAGAGCAGTTTCCAAAACCAGAACCAACGCAGCCAAAGGATCCCGACAAGAAGAAGAAGAAGAAGAAGAAGAGCTTGTTCAAGAAAAAGAAACCTGGATCTTCCTCTGATAAACCCATGAGAAAAGGCTCCTCCACGAGGCACCCTCTCCGTGTTCCTGGTATGAAACCTGGGGAAGGCTGTTATATCTGCAAGTCCAAAACCCATATTGCTAAGCTCTGTCCTGAAAAATCTGAGTGGGAGAGAAACAAGGTTTTCTTTTGCTGTCTTCTTGATTGGTATCTTTGGTTTAGGATTAGGGATTTTTTAGCTCCGATAGTTTCGCTATAAGCAATGTACCGACGAATTCTCGTGTTTATATCTTGGTGAGTAGGTTCAGGCCGCTCTTGTCTGAATCAGTCAAGTGTTTAGTTGAGTTTGGAGATATTGTTTTGTTGTGTCTGTAACAAAATTGTGAGTCACCAACCTTTGTTTAGGATAAGAGCCTTCTCATGGTTAAGTTTCTCTATGATTTGTACCTCTCTTGGTAGTTTGTCTCTGTGGACAAGAAGCTGAACATTGATACTTTGATTTATCACTTAATTTTGGTGGTTGCTGGAATAGCATCGGTTACTAATGTTTGTTCTTCTGTTTCTCATAGATATGCTTGCAATGCCGAAGGCGAGGGCATAGTCTTAAGAATTGTCCGGAAAAGAACGATGATAGCAGCTTCGAGAAGAAGCTGTGTTACAACTGTGGAGATACTGGCCATTCACTTTCTCATTGTCCTCAACCTTTACAAGATGGTAAGTCTATGTCTGGTTAGCTATACCAAGTGTTATTGTAACTGTGGCTCTACTATATTCAATTGTCACTAAGGTTGTTGTTTTGATTTGTAGGAGGGACGAAGTTTGCAAGTTGTTTCATATGCAAGGAACACGGGCACATAAGCAAGAACTGTCCTCAAAACAAGCATGGAGTCTACCCAATGGTACAATGCTCAGTTCCTGTTTTGGTCCCCTTTCTTTTTTTGAGTTTTGACATGTTAAACAATATGATTTGATGAACTTTCTTTTACAGGGCGGTTGTTGTAAAGTGTGTGGGAGTGTGGCGCATCTCGTCAAAGACTGCCCCGATAAACTCAACAGAGATTCAGCCCCAACTAAGAGCTCAAGTAACATTTTCTTTTTAAGTGATTAAGAGACGAGACAATTAATGCAATTTATTTGACCTTATAAAGATTATAACTATATCTTCCGACAGGATTCGATGCTACACCAAGAGGGAAACTCATTAAGTTCAGTGGGGATGATCTTGAGGACGATTTCTATGAAGAGCCTAAAAGCAGCAAGAAGATCAAGACCTCTGATGATGCTATTACACCTGATGAGGTAGATGAGAAGAGCATCTCAAAAAAGAAACAAGGTCCAAAGGTTGTCAATTTCTTTGGTTGAAATCACAAATCAGAAGCTCGAGAGGTTCTAAACGGGCTGTCAGTTTTGTAGGAAAGATCTAATTTTTTTTTCTTTCTTTCTATCTGCCTCTACAGCCATGTAATGACAAAAGTGCTATTTAAAAGTTTCAGAACAGTGTTATGTAATGGAACCATACAACAGCTAACTTCAGATAATATCTAAGCGGTTTGAAAATGATTGGACCCTGGAAATATGAATTCAGCTTTCCCGCAAACAATAAAAGGGCTTATCATATAAAAACTCATTCATCACATACTCTGTCCCCTTAATACAGACAGAACATCTACAAAGCTCTGTTTTGAACCCTCAGAAAAAAAAACCCAAGACAGAAGCATTATACTAGTTGCATGCCATTGTTAGTTCACAAGATCCCCTTGACACAACTTCCAACAACTTAAACATGAACATATCTCCAAACACACAAGCTGAGATAGAACAATACCAGTAGGGTACTGCACCTAACACGACACAATGCAGAAGTTTTAGATTTGTTCGTTACCAAGAATAGAGATAAAAAAAAAAAAAAAAGTAGACTACTTCAGGTAAGCATAGAGATATACGCTTGAGACGGGAGAAAGATTCAAGAACCTTAGCATGGCAGGACACAGATAAGAGATTTGCCTCGATAAGTTGGGGCATTTTATTATTATGACCTAACAATTTTAGTTCACTGAAGTAGTCCACAATGGTTAACTGCTTCAAAGAATGGTAATGTACCACAAACACATCATTATCAGTCTCTAAGTCTTGCAATGTATGCCTAACGGAAAACTTCTCTAGGGAAGGCACATTAATAGTAAAAGTCACCACATTGTCATCGTGACAAGTTTCTACAACCAAGTCTTCAAGTACAGGGCAATCTGATATAAGCCTCACGAAAGATTCCTCGTCTGGATACTTTACAAACAGCAGACAGAATGTCTTAAGAGATTGAAAGCTAACTCGAGATGGAACTTCCGAAATAATCACTTTTCGAAGTTCCAACGTCTCTAGGTTTTCACATCTAAACAGTGTACTAGGTAGTCTTATAATCCCATATTCAGGGAAAACCCATATCTTCGAATCACGCACGAAACGATCAACTGCAATCCTAACCCATAAATCAATCTCGGAAGCACAACATCCTGAAACACGGTTGAGATGAAAACGTTCCAGAACGGGGCTTTATGTAATAGCAAAGTCCCATAAACAAACTGAGACAAATTTCCCAAGTGAGCATTCTCATTAGCCTTTGCATCCTCATCTTCCATATCACCATCTTCCTCTGGGTAATCACCAAAGATAAGCCTTGGCACTAATGTCCAAAGAGACATCCATCGTTTACACAAAACTCTCATGGCAACTACATCTTTTGTTGGGACTAATGACAATATTTTTATGAGCAAATCATCTGGTAATTGACTTATCTTGTCCATATATGTTATAAGTACAAGCACAAACAACTCCTAACGCTTGCTGTCTTTTGTTTCAAAGTTTTCCTTGTCGATTACGGAATCAAAGATCGAAAAGACTAAGACTTTTCGATCTGATGTTAACCTGACATAAACCCAAATACGAAAAATATTAAATTTCAAAAGGGTACGACTTTTCAAGCAAATCCAAATTTCTCATGAGAAAAACACGTTACCGATAGAAGACGAAAGGACAAAGAAAGTGTAAAACAGACATATACCGTTTGGTAAGTGTAACTAGGACTTCTCCTCTCAACAGTTGACCATTTAAGAACTGGGATAAACCCTAAACCTGAAAATTTTCCTCTGTGAAAGTGAAAACGAATACTCAACAGCCTAAATTACATATTTTTAACATCTCTAATTATAAGTCACAACAATTGATAATTTTCGTATAAAACCTTTTTATATAAAATATAATTTATTATAAGATAAATGAGTGTAAATATGTAAGATATGATAAAAAAAAGATAAGTAACAAAAATAGACTCCACTTGTGTACTTTCAACTCGTTAAAAGTATTCAACTACAATGAATCTACCTCAGATTTTTTTTTGTTTTTTCAACTATCTCATTGTAGTTACTAGTTTCATAGGCCCTGCGCAAACGCGGGGCCGGACACGTTGACGATGCATTTGAGATTATGAAACAGTGGAAATCACATGGTATAATTAGTTTGATATAACAACGATCGGAAAATTCAACCGGAAAAATCAGATGCGTGTTTTATTTTTTGTGTATATATTTAGTTTTAATTGTAATGTATATGAGTTTGAATGTAAAACGGGATGGTTAGTGATAGATTTTGTTTAGTAAATAAATATATGTTTTTTATTATTTTAATTGAATTTTAAAATTTTAGTACAAATTATAAATGTTTAGTTATGTAAATCAATTTTGGCTGGTGGAAACTGGCATTGTTAAATATTGTTTACTTCTATATTTAAAAAGTTAAATTTTTATTCATTTGGTTAGAACTCACACATCTTGATTAGAGGGGAAAATTGTTTAATCTTTTGCGTATTTTTATGTGTTAGTATTTTCATGAAGCATATTTGTATTCTCTGCCTATAGTATCGAAGTTATTATGGAGGATGGGGTTTTTTTATTTTTAAATGTCGTAATGTATATTAACAATTTTTTTTTTTTTATTTTAGAAATGTAATGTAGTTTGTTTGTGAAAGTGTAGATTAGCATTTTTGTTTAAAAAATGTAATTATTATGAAAATTTTATATAATTTTACATGACTAAACATTTTTTTCTAGGAGCATAGTATATTTGTCATAGTCTAGTATTAACACTTTAATTTAAAATACTGAATTAGTGAAATGACCATATACAATACTTAACTCAGTGCTAAAGAAAAAGAAAAGGGCCATAAAGTTTAGTCTAAGTAATTAGGCTTATAATGGAGTGGGACTTGAGTATTTTTATAAGCTGAGTTTGAGTAAAGAATTATAAAAAGTATTAAGTGGTTAAAAAATTAGAAAATTCTGAAAAGCTCTCGTTCTTTCCGCCGTACAAAGATGTTCATAGCTTCTTCAGATTCCTGCGATTCGTGGATTGTTTAGCGTGTTAGTGAGTGATTTAGAGGATGATAGGTCGTGGTAAAGAGTCATTGAAGAGAGAGATGCTTACCTCAACAGTGATATTGGGATTCCGTTTGGTGTACGTTTCATGCTGAACAAAGATGCTGGTTATAAGTTTATTATGTTTATGAGGTTACAGAAGTTTAAAACATAATAAGTGGAATGCGTTGAACTTGGATGCGAAGAATAAGGTAAACCAGTAACACTTAATATAGAATGGTAACTTTATTTCATTTAACTGAAAATAACACAAAGCATGAAAGTAACATACGGAAATGAGTTCATGAAAACTGGGAAATGAAGTGACATGTGCTTTTGGTCCTTTTAACTAAGATAGTGGGGAAAAAAAAACTGGAAAACATGATGAATGAAAATGAACTCTTGAACCGTTGTTAACATAACCCATTTAAAACCTTAAAGGAATTCAACTGTTGGCTTGTGACCTATCATCAAAGTGACAAACTCATTGAGGACCGACGATGGAAGCAATTGGGGCAAGCCGTAATAGGCGCAGATTGGTGGCAATTGATTTCTGGTATCATCTTTGCTTGTGATTGATGGTACACCTTCTTCATGTGAAGCTCCGCTCCCTTCAAAGATGTCCGAATGGTACTCCAGATAGTCTCAAGAGTGGCTACACCATGTTCATTTTTGAGCTTTTTCAAATATTTCTTTCCTTTTTCAGTTGTACCCAAGCTCATCAATAGAACACCATAAATGAATCTGGCTTCCTTGTGTCCACGCTTTGCAGCTACACGGAGATGGTGCAAACCAATGTAAATCTTATTTTTTGCAAAATATTCAAGTATACCTTGCACGTAACGAGCATCCACGTTGTCTCTCTTCAAGCATTTCTCCATGAGACCCTTGTAGTACTTATCTCGACGTGGCTTCTAGATCAATGGCTGGAGATTAAGATCCTTGGCTACAAAGTAGTTCTCGAAACCTATGTTGAGCTCCTTGCAACTGAGGCTGGGGTTGACATAATCCACCGGTGAGGCTACACCAACTTTTGCTACAATGAGGGAAAGCAGGTCGCTTGGCATATTGTCTAGTTTTAGGACATGGGGATTAGGATCCATGATCAGGGATTGCAGGGATATTTTTGGAACCAAGGCAAGGGTGGTTGCTTGATCTAGGCAGAGAAGCAGTTCCGATCCAAACATAATTACTAATGTGGAACCATAAGGAAAATTTATCAAATGTGGTGTTTTTTAGTGTTATAGTGAAGAGCGAAAGAGTACTGCAGGTCACAGCAGGGAAAATTTCCAATGGTCGTGTCTAAAAGTAACAGTAAACTACACTGTAGGTTGTGTCTAAAAGTAACTGTAAACTATACAGTAAAAATCCTCGTAACAATTAACTAATAAGTCATAAGACAGTAGCTTCAAATCAATGGTCGTGTCTAAAAGTAACAGTAAACTACACTGTAGGTTGTGTCTAAAAGTAACTGTAAACTACACAGTAAAAATCCTCGTAACAATTAACTAATAAGTCATAAGACAGTAGCTTCAAATCAAGTACTATTTAACAGGTAACCTATAGTAAGCACTACAAAACATCCTGAGATCATAACCCATAATTCAGAGAAAGTGAAAGGTTGCTTACGATTCAATCAAGAAGCAAACCACAACTCTGGTGGACAGATCGGATTTCACCAACAACATCTGATCACAAAAAAATAAAAGTCTCAAAAATAGAACCTTTATACAAAGAATCAAAAGACTAACGACAAGACAGTGTTGAGTGGAGATCTATATATACAAAAGACTGAAGAGAGAACTGGGAGCTCTAGGTTGGTGCTCGCTAGCACCTGGAGGTGGTCATAACGCCTCACCATGAACCTGTCAGACTTGATTATAGGGACATTTGTGTGGACTTCACCAAGGCGTGTAGACGGAAGGAAACGTATCAAGAACTGATGCTCCATCACCTTGTACATGTGGGCAACCCGTGCAACTTCAAAACGCTCCAACCTCACAATACAACCAGCTTTCAGCGATGGTCGCTAATGACTCGCCCGATTCGCAGGGATGAAAGCACGAATAACAGAATCCTGTAACAATAAAACCCAACTTTAATACTTCACTGTAAATGTGAAAAACCAAATCTATGTTATACAGAACACGTATCAGTTCGTCGAGGAGTAACACCGTAATCCCCATAAACTCGCCGTTCTTATTAACGTTGCCTGAATCCCAAAACCGAATTAGGCGAGCAACAACAGGCTGAACCATCCTTCCGAGTCGAAGAGAGGCGAAGGAGGAGTACTAGACAGCGATGTTGGCGATCTGAGCATCTGAAGAAGACATTTCTGCGGTGTTTATCAGAATATAAGATGGAGAAAAAAGGGAAACCAGAGAAGCGATCTACAAACAGATATGTAGGTGGATTCGAAGGCGTAATTGATGGGGAAACAATTACAAAAGTAAAGATGAGGAGAGGAGTCGAAGAGTGCGAATTTGTGGAAGACGTTCGCCGGAAAGGGAAGGGACATGAGAAGGATCTTGATGATCTGTAAACGGGCCAACTTACCCAACTTAAATTGGCCAAAAACTAATACCTGGTTTCTAAACTTAACGGGAGAACCAAAAAAGAAGATGGAAGGGGTAATCGAACCCTAGACGCGCAGAGCAAAGCTTTAATGTTTCGGATTATACCACTCCACCAAATGTTGATCAATTGTTAATAGTCAGCACTACAAAGTTTTGTAGTTAAAAAATCGTGCGTGGGCCATTAAATATTGCTGACGTGGCGCGTTGGGAGTGAGTAAACTCCCCTATTATAATATAGATTATAATATAGATTAAGTAGTTGAAAAAATAATTTAACATCCCTATTGTAACCAGTGAACCTTTTCTATATATATATATATAATAGGCTGAAAAGCCCAATAGACCAAATCGTCTTCTGTTTACTAAAAAACAATAACCATAAAAAGAAAAACTAAAAACAGATTTAAAACAACATGCAAATCAATGATGGAGGAAAAAATCAAGGATAAAAAGACAAGCTCCAATTTGACTTGAGAAACATAAGACTTCGACCTCTGAAACACAGGCAGCAACACATCTGGTTTCACTGGAGCTTCACTTAGACCGGTGTCTCCAGAACCAGTCCATCGATGTGCGCTGGTTAATCATCCAAGATACTGTCCCGTGTGTTGGGTCCAAATCCCGACAAGACCAACTGCTTAGATAAGCCTGCCCATTACCACCAGTGTGGAGTTCATATGCTATAGTCGGTAAATGATCGTGCAGCATCGCAAGAAAGAATTGAGGTTAGGAACCTGCAAAAGGAAGAAGAGGTCAATTTGGGGGGGGGGGTATCCTTTTAAACAATAAGACCACAGATCTCGAAGCCACTAGCAAAAGAGAAGATTACGGCAACAAATAGAGAAAAAGGAGCGACTATAAAAGATGAGAAGAAGGGAGAGAGAAAGGACATTCAAAACCTTATACACTAAACATATCACACACGACCTCAACCTCTATTTATCACTCTCAATACTTTCGCCTTTGTTCTTAGTCATTGTAATCACATCTCATTGTAACAATGTATTCAATCAATCTCTATTAATAATGTCCATTTTTGTCAACAAAATCTGATTATATTGTTGTGTTATAAGGATATCATTGTCCACATTATTTCAATTCCTTAATATTTTACAAACAATCACTACCAAATACCTAGTGTGAGTTTTAAGATCCATATTTTGGCGTGATCTCTTGGAAAGAGAAACAAAAAATATTCTTGCTAAGAGTCTGATTTAAGATCCCTAAGTACGATCATGGATCCCACTCAAATCCCTTTAGGTTCTACTTAACCAAGAATAATCGACGTTGATTTTTTCAGATCTGACACGAGAAACGAAACGTCAGCTGCTGGATCAGAGCAGACTAACCAGACCGCAACAAACGGAGGGACTCAAGACAGCGAACGCCCTTGACCGTTGACAGAACGGGACCCTTGGACTCAGAACGAACAAACCCTCGGGTCGGGAATCAATTTGACAACAGGCAAGCCGACGACGAGACAACCACTTGAATGTAAGAAGCGTGACCAATCTCCCCTCTGTCTTTAGCTCAAACATGAGAAGATATGCCGAACTTTAGAGCATGGTTTCAACGCTCATCGACAAATCCCAAAACCAAGGGATTGCATACCAAACCATAACCAATTTATTAGAGCAAGCCGAAAGAGGGCCACAGCGCATCTGAGCTGAAGCTTTTGAACGATCAAAGAATCAATCAAATCCATCAAGCCGGACTCACGTGTCTCCAAGAAAAATCCTAGGAGCATTCAGAACCCCAAGTTTCCCAGTTCCTGATTAGTTTGATTCGAAGTCGGAAAAAAACTCGAGACTGATAACGCAACCCAGAATGGTGTATCAAAGCTTAAGATTCAGCGGCCTAGATGAATTACAGACTAAAGGCCAAGAGCATGAGAGTCCACCGATCCGTACCCAGAATAACTCGACCGAGAGGCGATACGAATCGCAACCTACGAGCCCTCGAAATCCCAATAATATCTTCCCAACAGCCCTGAATGTCTACCGGACCCAGGCCGCCGATCCACAGAATAACAGAGCTCAAGTAGCAAAAATTCCTCACGACTTCACCGGCTTAAATGGGCAGAGAGAAGATCCGAGATATTTCGCTAACTCCGGAGAGTTCTAGAATTACATAGAGAGAAATAACGCTGAGCTCAAAAGGATACACACCAAGCTCAAAAGGATACACGCCATCACACACATGGAAACAAGCTTGTTTCCTGACATTAATTGAAAAATGGAGGAGATGAGAAGAACTCCCTTTACCAACATGATAGCTAGAGTCAGGCGGCATGATGTGGGAAATATCAAATTCCCAGAATATTTTGGGAACACCAACCCAAAAGCCCACATTTGAGGTCTCCAACTCGTCATATCCAGGGCGCACCTCAACAACAACGAAAACAAGCCAATTACTGCCGCTTCTTCACAGAAAACCTCACCAGGCCTGCCCTAGAATGGTTTTCAGGTCTCGAAGGGAACTCCATCGACTATTTCACCCAACTAGTGTTACCTTTCCTACAAAAAGACTCAGTGTTCATAGCAACGAAAACAACCAAAGCCGACTTCTGGAATCTTAGACAAGCACCATTTCATCATCTAAGGACGTACATCAACAAATTCAGAGACATGAAAGCCAGAATCTCGCATCTAAACGGTGTTTGGTTTTCATCTAAATTCAAAATAAATTGGCAGTCCAAGCTCCCACCTCACTCAACGATGCACTTCACCGAGCCTCGTACTTTGCAGCGCATGAAGAAGAGGTCCCCGCTCTAAAAGAACAGTACAACGTGAACAGAAACAATGTAAGCGTCAACAAAAGACCGCCAAGCCTCAAAGAACCGGCCACCTGAGGTCAACATTCCTTCGCAACCAAAAAATCGACCCAGGATAGACCGTCCACCTTTGATCCTAGAAAGTACTGCACCTTCCACAAAATTTCACAACTCAGTCAGTTCAATTAAGGCCTTCCAGATAAGGGCCAAAATAACATCGGAATCAGAGATCCCATCTCCGGCCCCGACCACGAAATAATATTTCATGAAAACAAAATGATCAGTTTGGATAAACCAGACAACGACGACCTGATCATACGCCCCAATGTCAGGGGATGTGCGTTCTCTCGAGTATTGATCGACACTAGAAGCTACGTTGATGTCCTCTTTTAAGACGCCTTCAAAAGAATGGGTTTCACCAAATCCCTCCTCGAACAAGAGCTAACTCCATTAATAGCTTCGCCGAAGAAACGACCTACTCCCTCGGATCAATCAAGCTCACGATGACCGTAGGAGACGTTCGAAAGATCGTTGAATTCATCATCATAGATCGACGCGATCCATTCAACGCAATACTTAGGGACTTTGGCTATACATCATGAAATGAAATACCATCGATGTATCACCAATGCCTGAAATTCCTGGACCCGAGAAAGGGATTAAGACAATATGATGTAGTCAAAAGAGCTCAAAAACTTGCTACCTGGCGAGTTTCAACGACATCGAGTCCCTATCAGCCTAGTTCACCCGCTGAAGTTGAGTAACACGGCTACTCAAAATGAACAATGTGTTAGATGAACTAAAGATTACACTATCCCATGAACAGAAGGAAAAACAATCAAAATACTTTAAAGCTTAATCCCTCAATGAGGGTATGATATCACTCAAATATTACCTTAAGGAGTGACTTAGTCTCTCAAACAAGAGATCAGTTTTATTACTTAGGGATCGAATCCACAAGGAGCTAGGGAACCAATTAAATCTATTCGAGTAAATAATACTCGGTTGGTTTAAAGTAAATTGCAGTAACGAGATTAAAGTAAATAGCAATGATCCTAATTGAGCAAGGTAGTTGCTCCACTAAATTGATTGAGGGTTGAAACTTAATTGGAAAGGTGTTAGACTTAGGGTTTTTAATCAGGTAATAGAGATTATAATCCTATAGGTGCTAAATAGTTGTATGCATGATATTGAAGAGCTTAACCACTAAATAAAAAATTCATTCAGCACTCGCTTTACTGAATAAGTCTATTAAGTAGATCTATTGACCCAAACAAGGATGTTCTATCAATAGTAGTGTCGATCAATTATTCTATATGGATATCAACCGATTCACTTTTCACTACGTTGATCGATTTCCAATGGGAGTATCGATCGACGCGCTCCTAGTTAAGATTTATGCGCGAGTTAAATATGCTGACTAAAGACTCCTAGATTAAGCTCTCGCCATGGTCTAGAAAATCCTAGATTAATAGAATAGATTCAGGATATTTAGTATTGCCTAAACGTTGCTCAAACAATCTAAATTTCTTAGATCAGGTTTCTAGTTAGCAAGTCCAGAACATAAGAATTAAGACCATTCTATTAATAAATATCACAACA